GAAAACTGGTCTCTTCCTCAAGATGCTTTCTTGCCACACTCTAAAATTATCATAATACAAAAAAAATGCTTTCCATGGGTCTGGTCCCCCTGAAGTGAGGTCCAACTGTGCACTGCACCCGGTGGCCTTCTCGGGTCATTTCCTAGTCCTCTAGTTCCTCTCCCTGCCTTCTTCTCCTTCCCAGAAATCAGCTGCAATGATCAACCTCCCTGCCCCTATCCCATCCCTCCTCCAGGCTAACTTCTCCTCGTCCTCTTCCTCGGAGACTCGGCATGGATACCGCCTCCCTCCCCCCTTCCACACCCTGGCGATAAGGATATCCTTCCTATAGGCTTCCACAGCTTTGTGTTCTCACCCCATCCTGGCACTCACCACCTGCAGGAATTCCCTGGGCACACGGGCTGTGTGTGCAGCAAGCAGTTGGCTTGGCAGTACCTAGTACAAAGTAAGCACTTCAAAGTTTAATGAATGGAAAATATGCTAACTATTCCAGAACACAATTCTCTTCGGTAAACACCATTCCTGAAATTCTATTTTATTGGCACCTACACAGAGTAGGTGTTATATCTGAGCTACCAGAATTTGCTAGGCAGACAAAATTCCCAGTCTGGGGGAGGAGCACAGCCAGCAAAGCAGGCCACAGTGGCCACTGTTCCAATGTCTCAGAGTTCTCATTGTTAGCATGTCTCCAGCCCCAACCACACTAACCTCAAAACATTGGCAAATCCACCTTATGAAGTGATGTAGAGGAGACAAAAACTGTTCTTAATATTTGTCAAGAATCCTCCTTTAGACATAAAACTGGCATCCATGTTTTCAGACCGAAACGGCTGCTTGAAAAGTCATTCCAAATGGAACTAATCTGCTTGACAAAGTAAGCACCGGTAGGTTTTGTAGAGGAGACCCTGGAAGACGTTAACGGCTAAGCGCTAGGTTACTAACTGAAAGGTTGGTAGCTGGAACCCACACAAGGCTGGTCTGGTGATCTGCTTAGGAGCTGACTGAACAGCGACCAACAACAGTCTGTAACTGTTGATTTTGTCACTGCTCTTTGAGCTTGGAGGAACAAAGGAGACAGAAAGCATGACTGTCCACAAGGGTCCTTACAGTGTATGTTCTGGGTATGCTGTTATTTTGAAAAGAAGCCCTTGAAAATGTATCTATTATACATTGACTTTTTAATGATAAATCTTAAATATATATCCATGATCACTTGGGTCAGAAAATCCTAATATCTGGACTCATAAAATGTAACATAAAATCCAAAAATATTCTGATTTGCAAACTGTTCTGCTCTTTTGTTTCAACTTTTTAGCTTCTGAAATGGAGTATATGAATTTTCTAGTTCTCACTCTTGGCTGCACAATGGAATCCTCTGGCAAAATACCATTACTTGGATGTGGACTATTATCCCATGAGATCCACATATAATCATGAGGGCCAAATCTAGCCTGTTTGGATAAATAAAGTTTTATTGGAACATAGTCCCCTTCATTGATTCACAAATCACCTACAGTTGCTTTCATGTTACAACAGCAAAGGTAAGTATTTGTAATAGAAAGTATGTGCTAGCTGACCCTTTTCAGGAAAAGTCTGACAACCTTAGTGGGAATTTCTACTAACTAGAAAAGTGGTTTTTAAAAGACACATACATTAGACCTATCTAGAAAATTTATTTGAAATAAAAGCCTGGGCTTTTATCACCCCAGTAGATCAAGGGTGATACATGGGAATTTACTAGAGCGCTTCAAAAGTTCATGAAAAAATGGAATTCATAGGTAATGGAATTTTTCTATTAACTTTTTGAAGCTCCTTTGTGTATTTTTTAAAAATAAGGGATTCCAAAACATACTCATTCAAGAACTACTTTACTAATCCAGCCACTACCATTGAGTAGATTCAGGTTCACAGCGACCCTGCAGAGGATAAAGTAGAGGTCTTCCCTAGGGTTTCTGAGACTAAAGATTTCGTCTACCTTGTCGTTCTTCCTCAGAGCAGCTGGCGGGTTTGAACCACCGACCTTACAGTTAGCAGTCCAATGCTTAGCCCACTATGCAACCTGAAGTCCTTAAGAACAACTGTACTAAAGAACGCGAAAGCATCAGTAGGCCTTTAACAAAACTTCAAATTCTTGCAGGGGGTGGTGGTGGTGGTGGTATGCGTCCTTGCCTTGACAGTTGAGACAGCTATGCTTCTAATATTCACTAAGAATAAGCCCCACAGAGTATTGTTTTAATCCATTTATAGAAGGCCAGCTTGAAGTGGATAACTCTGCATTTTAATTTCCACACAAACTTAATTGCACTAATGGAAACTTATTTTCCTTGAGGCTGTGTTCTAAGGCTTCTCTAACATGTTACAAGAGACATTGAACTTCCTTTCAAGTTCAATTAAATGTCTTTTCCTGATGTCATCACCAATCTACTTGAGGGAATAAAGCAATTGAATAACAAAGGGATTGTTGTAAACAGACCAGAAATAGAAGATCTAAACTATGTAAAGGAAAACTAGAGATGTGTGTTGTAACCAAGGCTCTAGAACTTAGTTCCATTCTAGTTAATTTACCAGCATTTCAAGAAACAGTCACTGGTAGCAACAATGGGCAGCTATGGTATTTCAAACCAAGTCCAGCACAGAGTGCACCTTCAGGACCAAAAGTCTGACAACAGGGTAAGATAACACCCCACATCAATAACACCTGGCACCAAGCTCGATCAGAGGAGTCAGCTATGGGTAGGGAAGAGGAGGAAGCAAAGAGAGGAAGGTAAGCTGAGTCGAGGTGCAACTTTGAATGCTGAGGGAAACCGTGACTGCTTCATCATATTCAAGGCCTGGATGAGCACAGATGCCCAGTGACATTTCACTCAGTCGCTCACTCTGTCCCTGATGGAAGCCTCTTTCATAACTTCTCTCTCCTCCATGCCAACGCCTCCTCCTTCTCCATCTTCAGTTTCCTCCCCTGACCTTGCTGCTTATTTCACAGGGAAAACTTTTAGCAGCCAGAAGAAAGCTGTCACGGGATCCCACCACCATGCGGGCCTGCTCTACCTGTAGCCCACAGATGCTTTTTCCCTGTCTTTTCTGCCTCAATAAATGTCAACTTCACCCTTCTGTCGGCTCAATCCGGAAGCCTTGTCTCTCTTCCTCTCATATTTCACCTCTACTCTGTTGTTGCTTTTGTTGTTATTGTTAGGTGCCATCAAGTCGGTACCAACCCATAGCGACCTTATGCACAGCAGAATGAAACACTGCCTGATCCTGGGCCAACCTCACTATTATCGCCACACTTGAGTCCATTGATGCTGCCACTTAGCCAATCCATCTCGTTGGAGGTCTTCCTCTTTTTCTCTGACCCTCCACCTTACCAAACATGATATCCTTCTCCAGCGACTGGTCCCTCTTGACAATATGCCAAAGTCTGAGACATGAAGTTGGCCATCTTGGCCTCCAAGGAGCACTCTGGTTGCACTTTTTCCAAAACAGATCTATTGGTTCTTTTGGCAGCCCATGGCACTTTCAATATTCTCCTCCAACACCATAACTCAAAGGCATCAATTCTTCTATGGTCTTCCTTATTTACTGTCCAGCTTTCGCATGCTTATGAGGTTACTGACAATACCATGGCTTGGGTCAGGCGCACCTTAGTCCTCAATCTGACATATTTGCTCTTCAACACTTTCAAAAAGCCTTGTGCAGTGGATTTGCCTAATGCAATACGTCGTTTGATCTCTTGACTGCTGCTTCCGTGAGTGTTGATAGTTGATCCAAGAGGAATGAAGTCCTTGACAACTTCAATCTTTTCTCCGTTGATAAGAATGTTGTCTATTGGTCCAGTGGTGAGGATTGTTGTATCCACCACAAATACTGTTGGTTCTACCTTCTGATAATATTCACAATCTGCCTGCTTCTTCCACCATTTGCCTGTCAGTTTGTCTCACAGTGGCGGTTTGCGCGCTTCAGGGATGCTGGAAGCTATACCACTGGTATTTTGTACGCCAGCAGGATTACCCTTATCACCTACAGAAGCAGACTGCTAGACTTTGCTTCTGTGGCACTGGGTAGAACTGCCAGCCTCTAGCCTAGCAGATGAGGGCAGATGTTTACATTACCTGGAGACCTTTTGCCTATTACAGGGAATCATAAAACAGAGGAAGAATGAATGAATTAGGTGGTGGGTGTGGCATTCATATCCTCTTGGTTCTCCCCTCCTCTGCTACTCCCCGCCCAGAGTCTTCTAGCTGCTGATACTCCTCCACCTTCCTGAAGGCCAAACCAGAAGTACCAAAGAGGTCCTGTCAGCAGCCTTCTGCCAATGGCAGACAGCTGAAGGAGTCCCTTCAGAGGGCTGGAGATCCAGTCCTATAGTAGTACCATGCTTGCTGATGACTTTTTGTAATGGTGTCCTTCACTCCTGACCCACTCCCTTACTGGTGTTTCCTGGGATCTCTTCCCAAAGAAGCTACTTTGACTTCGTTACTCTCCCAGGAGCTGTTTTTCAGAGATCCCAAATAGGACAGTGCAGTATTGGTGGTACAAGTGGTCAACGCACTCAGCTGCTAAAGAGTTGAAGGTTTGAGTCTACCCAGAGAAGCACCTTGGGGGAAAGGCCTGGTGGTCTACATTGGAAAAAAACAGCCATCGAAATGGAGTATATTTCTACTCTGGTACATGTGGGGTCACCATGAGTTGGGGTTGACTCGGCAGTGACTGAATTTTTAAAAATAAGACAGAGACAACAAGAAGCCATTGAAGTTATTGAGCAGGGTGGTGATTTAATGCAAGTTCTGTTTAGTTTCTTTACCCAGGTAACGCCGTTACAAAGGCTGGAGCGGAACAGAAAATGATGAAGGTAAGGTGCTGACATCCGAGACACCTTCAACGTGCCCACCACACTCTAGTGGAGCGTTTGAATGTGGCCATAGCATTGTGCATAGGAAGTAGGAAAAGAATACCGAGCTTAGCATCGTCACTGACTTTAAACCAAAGGAGAGGTTACTTGCCTTTTATATCTCCGGCTACTGGGTCTTCAGGACTAGGAGTAGAAACAGGAAAAATGGGAATTCCTACAAAAACAGTTTATTAAAAAAATGATTAATGAGACAGTATTGTGTAACATTAGTAGCCCTCTCTAGCTTTGTGAACAGTAGCAGCAGAGACTTATACAATGAAAGGCACTATGGTTCTATGGTAAGTGTGGCCATCATGAGCCCACTGCTCAGGGGCTGTGATTGATAAAATGAACAAATAGATGTTCCGTGTTCACAACAGCTACATGTAACCTCAGTCCCATCCTCGTTGTAGTTAGGCTGAAAACACGGCCTGCTTTCTACCTCGCTACATGCATTGGCTTCATAAGCACTGGTATTATTTTCTCAAACATGAAATCTAGAATAGCTTTTTTTTAAAAAATACTTTCTTTTGAGTATTTTCTCTGCAATTTTGTCTATGCCATAAAATCCTTTCAAGTGTCTCTGTCTGAAATTGTAAATCCAATTTCTGCTCAGGCCTTATCCAATAGTCACAGATTCTAAATTAAGTTGTGAGGCGGTGTCATCGTATCTAGGTTTAAAACATTGGTTCCTTTAAATAATAAGGTGATCACTGATTCACCATTCAAACAAGGACACTCTTGGAGGGAAAGTGGGTGCTATTCTAATAATTATTCTAATAATTCCCATGAGACAGTAGGCATGAGCTAGGGCACAGTCACCCACTCACATGAGTACTGACCCCACATCCCCACAATTCATCAGAAGAGACTACTCCCGTGATAGATATGCAGGAGTTGTGAGGGTGGAGATGGGCAAAAACTCATATTACAATGGGGGTTCTTCTTGAGCTGATGCTTTTCTGTTCTAACATGAACATGCGGCTTTTAACACTGTTGTGTTCAATATAGTCCTGACTTCAGTGTCAAGATTTGCACAGCTAACTTCATAGGCTCTCCTGCTTCATGTAGGAGGCTGTGGGGGGGCATAAACGGTTAGCACTAGACTACTAACTGAAAGGTTGACAGTTGAAACCCACCCAGAGGTGCCGAGGAAGAAAGCCTTGGTAATCTGTGTTGTTAAGTGCCGCCGAGTCGGTTCCAACCCATAGCGACCCTGTATAGGGTTTCTAAGGAGCAACTGGTGAGCTTGAACCGCCAACCTTGTGGTTCAAACACACTTTGCAGTCCAGAGCATTAACCCATAGCACCACACCAGGACTCTTGAAAATCCTGTGGTGTACAATTCTTTTAACACAAGGAGTTGCCATGAGTTGAAATCAACTGGCTTGTTTGTTTCTTTCCTTCATGTTGCATAGTGCTTCTAACTGATGTATACATTTTTCTCTCTGAGATAGATGTAGGAGCATTCACTCTTATCAAGGCAGTGGGAAGAGGTTTAGACTCATGATAACTTGGCTCACTACACAATGGGACAGAAGAAATACATCCACCTGGCTCCCAGAAATACAACACATTGTGTTGTTGTTGTTGTTGTGCCATAGAGTCAGTTCTGACTCATAACGACCCTGTATAGAGTTTCCGAGGAGTGGCTGGTGAGTTTGAACTGCCGGCCTCGCAGTTTAAATCGACCTTGCAGTCCAGTGCATTATCCCACAGCGCCCGCCACACCAAGACACATTATCTATATGCAAACAAAAATGTAGGAACCTGTAAGAGCTCTTCTGGAGTCCTGGTGTGGCTCTGTGGGTTAATGCGCCAGACTGCAAAGCCATTTGAACTGCAAGGTCAGCGGTTCCAGCTCACCAGCCGCTCCTCAGAAACCCTACACAGGGTTGCTATGGGCCAGAACCAACTTGACAGCACTTCACAACAACACAACAACAAGAGCTCTTTTACCTATGAAGAAAAATCCCACACACGGGTTTCTATTAGGTTGGAATTGCCAATACTTGATCCTTCAAACCTTCTGAAATAGCACTTTGTATAGCGTAATCTAATTTTCTATTCCAAACTTTTGTCAACACTTTCACATAAATACAGCCTACCTGGTCCCATCTCTGCCTCTTCCACCCTAACCTGGTCTCAATTTACAAAACCCAGCTAATGTTCTGCAACATGTACTTACTTGAACAAAATGGGAAATCATAATATCCAACCGCACACTCCTCACAGTTGTCTCCTTGGAAGTTCGGCTTGCAGTAACATCGGCCCGAGCCTTGCTCACAGCCATCTGCATGTTCAGGGTTACAGCTGCAAGCTGTGAGAAGGTCAAGTGTTCAGCAGACACATCCTTCACTGCACTTAATAAAGCAAACACTGTCCCAATACTTCTCACACAGTATTTAATATTTATCATAGCTTGACGGTTATTCAAGGGCACACGGCCTGTTCTCCTCTGCACTCCTAACTGATGGTCCTCAAAGACTGAATACCAGGGCCTAAAAAATGAGCTTTCATGAGCATCTACACTAAGTTCTTGAGAAGGTAATTCATTACACTTAGCATTGCTCAGCTCTCTGAATAAGAGGCAAGCCTGCACAAACGCAACCCACAGAGGCTGGGGTCGGAGTGGAGTGTAGGCCCATATTGGGCATAGCCCCTCCTGGCCATAGGCCAACTGTGTCTACAGGTGTTCATCAGTACACAGCTACAATGTGACCACAGTGTGGGGTTCCTCAGCAATGATATGTCACCAGTAGACAAAATAGCAAAATGGTACCTGTAACCCAAATGACACTGTAATCCAAGTGACAGGACTTACTAAAGGCTGTTTTTACCAAGCATGATTACTAGCGTTTGTTTCAATCTACCAACTGTATTATAAAAGCTTGGTAAATCCCCATGGTGGCTTCCCTTGGCCAGGTAAATCCTCATCCGAGTCAGGGGCCACAGGGCCACAGATCATCTGAGTACATTTTCCATGAGGAACTGCGAGATTGGTGAACATCACACATCTCCCAGCCTGGCTTTTCTGGATTGCTGTTGTTAAGTGCAGTCAAATTGATTCCGATTCATAACAACCTTGTATAGGGTTTCCAAAGAGCAGCTGGTATGTGAACTGCCAACCTGGCAACTAGCATCCAATGCTTATCCTACAGCACCGCACCAGGACTCTAGATGGGTTTTGCTTAATTTGTTTAGGGTTTATCTGTCCTGGAAATGTCTTTCACTAAGCCTCCAAGACCACTGTGGGCAGACAGAAACTAGAAAAATGCGTGTAAAAGTACTTAATTAGTGCCTTGTGTATATCAAGAGCTAAATAATCCATAATTGTAGTGCTGTAGGGTGAGTACTGGACATCAAAGCACAAGATCAGCAGATCAAATCCACCAACTACCCCTCAGAAACCCTATACAGAGTCTCTGAGTTAGAACCAGCTTGATGGTACTAAGCAACAACAGTTAAGGTGACTACAACAACAAATTATTAAATCATTGTGAAATCATTACTATGTTGTCTGGATGTTAATTCTGACAAAATGTGAAACTATAGGCGATCATAGAAGTAATGTCGAAACAGCATAAAATGGAGAGATAAACTTAGAGCAGGACTACTATGTGCTAGGCCCAATGCTAAGCACTCTGGATGGCACTTCACATGATCTTAAGAAATGTACTGTCACCGTAATTTTTCAATTATTTTATTGTTTTTGTTGAGAATATAGACAGTGATACATACACCATTGAGCAGTTTCTATGTGCACCACCTGATGCATATAGAATGATGACATTATATAACCATTCCCTTTCTGAGTTGTTCGACCCTCATTAACAAAAACTCACTGCCCCCTAAATTCCTGTCTAATCGTTCAAGTTGCTGATGTCAATGTGATCCCACACGTTGTTGTTGTTAAGTGTCGTCTAGTCGGTTCTGACTAACAGCGACCCTGTGTAAGCTTTTCAAGGAGCGGCCAGTGGATTTGAGCTACTGACTTTGCAGTTCAAACCGACCTTGCAGTCCAATGCTTATCCTACAGCATCATACCAGGACTCCCACACAGATGGTTGTTGAAAGAACATAATGCTCAAGGCAGACATTTTTTACTAGTTAAGCTAAACTATAATTTTCACCCTTTCAAGGCCAAATTATTTTCTGCTTTGAATTATTTTGTTGTTATTGTTGAAACCTTGTGTTTTCCAAAATGGAAGGCACTGCTAATGAAATTTTAAAACCACAAGTTTTTTGAGGTAATGTGGCTTTAATACAATTTGTGGGACACATATGTCCTGAGGGTCTCAGGTGGGATTCACACACTTACACAGGACCCACTAGATGGCAGGAGGTACTAAAAGAAAGATAGCAGCTTCCCACACAACTCCAGAGGCAGAAAATGTAAGTGGGCACTCTACATCCTGTGGCTCACAAAAGGGTTGGGAAGACTTCTGGGGAAAGTTTTGGTTTAAGATTTAAAGATGATCTCAGGGCAGTAGTTTCAGGAATATGGCTTTTGAGCCTTGGAGAGATTATGGAGCTTCCTGAGGCTAGTAAGGGGCAGAATTAATAATATGGAGCGAGGGAATAGAGGGAATTACTATGCAGTCTGAAGTTAACCTGTGATTCCCTGAAACAGCAATCACAGGCTGAGATGCAACAAACTGAAATGAAACTTACGGATGCAGCCATGGGGGGCGTCCACCGGAACACCGTAAGGGCGGTAATAGCCTTTAGCACACATTTCACAGTTTACACCAGCTGTGTTATGCTAGAACGAAACAAAAGAAGCTTAGAAGACACAGTACTGAAGAAGCTGAGGAGGGTATAATTTTGTCATATGCAATTGTAATCTCAAAGTCACTGAAAAAGGCAAACACTAATCAGGACCTTGAGTCTTCAAAATTAACCATAGAACATCAGCCTAACTTTGGCTCTCAATTTTTTGTTTCTCTTTATTGGAATCCTGGTGTGGTGCTACAGGATAAGTACTCAATTATAAGGTCAGTTTGAACTGCAATGGCCGCAGTTCAAACTCACCAGCCACTCCTTGGAAACCCTATACAGGGTCACTATGAGTTCCAACTGAATCGATGGCACTTAGTATCAATAACAACTAAAATGTAAAATGACAGAAAGGTCCCTGAGCTGGGCAGTACAAGCTTTTCCTTCTAGCACAGAATTTGCTTAATGAAGTACCTGCCGTTTGAGTAAAGGAAAAAACAAAACCCCATAGCTTCATTGAGAAGAACTGAGGAATGGACAGTAAGTCACATTTGGGCTTAATTCAAGGAATAAAGGGTCATATGTGCATCAATACAAAGAGTTCCTCTTCTTTTTTTCTAATTTTATCTGTGCCTTAGTAGTGAAATCATTTTCCAAGCAATTCCATCATATGAATGGAAAATGTAAGCATGAGTCTCATACACAAAGCTCATTTTAAAGTATAATACTAGGCGGTCTTTTATATTTCATAGTTAATATTTCTAAATGCCTCAAAATCAAATTACCCAGCATGCATCATCAGTTTCCAAGAATTATACACCATAGATTTAGCTCTATCCTGGCTCTCTTTCTCTCCAGTTTGGAAGTAACTAGGAAAGCAATGTTCTTTCATTAATGAAAGGAAAGGCAAGGGGAAGTTAAAAGTTAAATATAACATACTATGACCCACACAAGAGTCTGCATAGAAAGACAGAAGGGAGAACAAAGACCCTTTCTGTATCCTTTCCACAGTTTCAGATTTTATTATTACCATTCCTTGTCCTGTGGGCTAAAATCTGAATTCACTTTAACAGTGAGGTCTACACCCACACTGGTCATTTCTCTGTCTTCACATTTACATGCATAAACAGCATAGGTGAATAAGAAACATGTGCAGTCTACCTCCCTTCCTATCAAGTGCCAATTAACCCCTCCACTCCACTGTTTGCCACAGTGACATATAAGAAAGAGGATGGATGTCAGCTTAACGCTAACTATGGAGTTTTTCCCATTGGATAGAAATGAGGAAGACATCTCTGGAGTGGCCAGCCCAGCTTTCCCCTCTACTGCAAAACTTGCTTAATGAGCCATCAGCCATTTGAGTGAGGAAAAAAAAAAATTTCAAAGGCACTATTTTCAGAGAGAAGTCATATTGTTGTCTTTGTTAGTTGCCATCGAGTTGGTTCTGACTCACGGCAACCCTGTGCACGACAGAACAAACTACTGCCCGGTCTGGAGCCAACAGTAAGGCTTAAAGAACAGCAATGAATGATGAATAGCTGAGAGAACAAGTGCTCCGCCAGTGGGATGGGATAATGTCTGTACTTGGCCTTCATATACCTGCTGTTTGATCTGCACCATTCCTTGAGCCATTATGCATCACAGTATCCACGGACAGCAGGGGCATGACTGAATCAAAGCCCAGGTCAGGGACCATCATTTCTGCACTGGAGAGACTGGGGAAGCAATCTGGCTGAGGATTGGGGGCTGGCAATCTTAGTTGCATGACACTTTAAATAAGATGATAAAACCTCAATTATCCAAGAGTGGGATGTGTGTTGATGAATCTATGCAGGGTTAAGCCCCTCCTTTCCCACTGCCACCATTCAGACTTCCTATGGATTGCTTACCTATAAATCCTAAACCCTACTCTGCTACTTCTTCAGGTCAGAATTCTTCAAGCAACCCCCCTTACTCCCTTGCTCTCTCTCTCTCTCTCCCACAACTCCCCTCTTCATCTCAATTCCTTAACTATACCTAGAAAATTGTTGCTGACTTCTAATCCTGTCTCCCCCAAGCACAGTTGTACCTAGAAGACAAAAAGAACCTTGCATGCATTGGGAAAGGAGAAATTCCTTTTTTCTGTGCCTTTCCCTTTGGGTGGAGAAACATGGGACAGGAACTTGTATAGCTGTTTAGGAGTTATCAATACCTAGCACAGTGCCTGACATGTAACAAACACTAAGTAACTATCTGATGAATGAGCAAAAATGACTTTATCTAGGAACACAGATATGCCAGGCAGCCTGAAGATGAGACCCTGAAGAGGTCATTCAAGGATTGGCACTGACTGTGTGATTAAGCAGGCTCCTCTTGCCTCCCCTTAGGTACTCTTTGAAACCACCTCTGTTCCTGCTTCAGCTGATAAAGGCCACTTTATCTGCCCTTAATAGAACATCTCCACTTGCAACATTCGCCTCATGGTGCATGTTTGAAATCTGTAGGGTGACTCTCTTTACTATCCTCACTTCTGGAATATATTGTTGTTAGCATTGCTATTGTTGGTGTTGACAGGTGCCATACAGTCGTGCAGATTCATAGCAACCTCATGCACAACATAACGAAACACCGCCCAGTCCTGCACCAACCTCACAACCATTGTTACACTTCAATCCATTGTTGCGGCCACTGTGCCAATCCATCTTGTTGGGGGTCTCACTCTTTTTTGCCGACTCTCCACTTTACCAAGCATGATGTCCTTCTCCAGGGACTGGTCCCTCCTGAGAATATGTTCGAAGTATGAGAAATGAAGTCTCGCCAACTTGGGCTTATAAGGAGTCTCCTGGTTGTACTTCTTCTAACACATATTTGTTTGTTCTTCTGGCAGACCATGGTACCTTTAACATTCTTCTCTAACACCATAACTCAAATGCATCAATTCTTCTATAGTCTTCATTATTCATTGGCCAATGAATGTGTTTGTTGGAAATACCATGGCTTGAATCAGGCACACCTCAAATTGACATCTTTGCTCTTGGACACTTTAAAGAGGTCTTGTGCAGCATATTGGCCTAATGCAGTACATCTCTTGATTTCTTGACTGCTGCTTCCATGAGTGCTGATGATGGATCCAAGCTAAATGAAGTCTTTGACTACTTAAATGTTTTTGCCATTTATCATGATGTTGTTTATTACCACAGTGGTGTGGATTTTTGTTTTCTATACATTGAGATGCAACGCATACTGAAGGCTGTGGTCTTTGAGCTTCATCAGTTAAGTATTTTAAGTTCTCTTTGCTTTCAGCAAGCAAGGTTGTATCATCTGTACATCTCAGGTAGTTAATGAGTCTTCCTTTAATCTTGATGTCATGTTCTTCTTCATACAATCAAGCTCCTCAGATTATTTGTTCAGCACACAGATTGAATAAGTATGGTGAAAGAATGCAACCCTGGTACACACCTATAGTGGTTTTAAACAATTCAGTGTCCCCTTTTCTGTTCAAATGACTGCTTCTTGATCTGTGTACAGGTTTCTCAGGAGCACAATTAAGTGTTCCAGAACACTCATTCTTCACAATGTCATCCATAGCTTGTCATGATCCACACAGTCGAAAGCCTTTGTGCAGGCAATAAATCAAAATATCTTTCTGGTATTCTCTACTTTCAGCCAAGACCCATCTGATGTCAGCAATGGTATCCCTCGTCCAAGTCCTCATCTGAATACAGCTTGAACCTCGGGCAGTTCCCTGCCAATGTACTACTGCAGCCATTTTTTTAATTACCCTTAGCAAAAATGATTGTCCGATGATTTCCACATTCCATTGGGTCACCTGTCTTTGAAATGGGCACAAATATGGATCTCTTTCAATCAGCTGGCCAGATAGTTGTTTTCCGAATTTCTTGGCAGAGATGAACGAGTGCCTCCAGTGCTACCTCAGTTTGTTGAAAGATTTCAATTAGTATTCCAACAATTCCTGGTGCTTTTTTCTTTGCCAATTGCTTTTGGTGCACCTTGCACTTCTTCCTTCATTACCATTGATGATCAATACATGTTGAGTGCATGTTTAATCAGATTCAGACTGCAGTAGTTGGTCAAATTCTTCAATTTCATCATCACTGGCTTTTGTGGTTGATGCATAAATTTGAATGATAGTAATAACCTGGTCTGCCTTGTAGGTGTATGGATATTATCCTATCACAGACAGCATTATACCTCTTGAAATAGGTGAACATTGCCCATTTCATTTTTATACAGTGACTCTGTGCATTTCTCCCATCGTCCTTTGATGCTTTCTTTGTTATTCAATATTTTGCCCATAGATTCCTTTAGTATTTCAAGTCAAGGTTTGGATTTTTTCCTCAGTACCTTCAACTTGAGAAATGCTGAGCATGTTCTTCCCTTTTGGTTTTCTAACTCCAGGTCTCTGCACATTTCATTATAATATTTAACTTTGTCTTCTCAAGCTGCCCTATGAAATTTTCTGTTCAGCTCTTTTACCTCCTTGGTTTTTCCATTTGCTTTAGCATCTCTACACTGGAGAGCAACTGAGTCTCTTCTAACATCCATTTTGATCTTCTCCTTCTTGCTTATCTTCTTAACCTTTTGTTTTGTATGATATTCTAAATGTCACCCCACAACTCTTCTGGTCTGTGGTCATTAGTGTCTAATGCATAAAATCTGTTTTTTGAGAAGATCTCTAAATTCAGGCAGGATAGCCTCAAGATTGTATTTTTGCTCTTGTGGACTTGTTTTATTTTCTTCAATTTCAGTCTGAACTGGAACATGAGCAATTGATTGTCTGTTCCACAGTCTACCCTGGCCTTGTTTTGGCTGATGACCATCTCATTTGATAGGTGTAGTCAATTTAATTCCTGTGTATTCCATTTGGTGAGGTCCATGTGAAGAGTCATCTTTCATGTTGTTTAAAAAAGGTATTTGCAATGAACAAGTCATTGGTCTTGCAAAATTCTGTCATCCAATCTCCAGCATCGTTTCTAACATCAAGGCCATATTTTCTAACTATTGAGCCTTCTCCTTTGTTTCCAACCTTTGCATTCCAACTGCCAG